GCGCGAGGTGAGGGTGAGCGGGGACCCGCGGGACAGGTTGGGAGCTCGGCGTCTGCCCCGTGGGCCCTGACAGCGGGCAGGCCTGGCCGGGGGGCAGTGAGGCACCGACCTGCCCGGCCCCAGCGAGCTCAGCCGCGGGGACCCACCGTTCCTCCTTCCCTCCCCAGAGACTTCATCGAGCAGCACTACGTGACCCTGAAGAAGGCAAATCCCGACTTCCCCATCCTGATCCGCGAGTGCTCCGGCGTGCAGCCCAAGCTCTGGGCTCGGTACGGTAAGTGGTGGGGTGTTCGCCGGGAGCCACCGCCTGGGGACGGGTAGAAGCCTGCGCCAGAGCCCCGCGGTCTGCAGCAAAGGCGGGGTTCAGTGGTGATAGTAAGGGACTTTTTGTCCCTTACAGTAGGGTTAAGGGCTAGAATTAGGGTAAGGGACAAAAAATGAACCTGTGGCTCAGAAGGTGGTTTCCTAGCTTGTGGCTGTGAGTTCCCATTCCCGTAGGGTGTGGGAGAAAAATGTTTGTGTTTTTTCTTTTTTTTTAACTGCATTCTTAGTGAAGCAGAGAGAGCAGAAAAGATACTCTGTAAAGGCTTTGCTTTCTTTTTGAAAAACATGGACCTGTTGGAGCAGGTCTAGAGGAGGCCCTGGAGATGCTCTGAGGGCTGGAGCCCCTCTGCTGTGAGGACAGGCTGAGAGAGTTGGGGTTGTTCAGCCTGGAGAAGAGAAGGCTCCGGGGAGACCTTATAGCAGCTTTCCAGTATCTGAAGGGCGCCTACAAGAAGGCTGGAGAGGGACCTTTTCTATGGGCCTGTAGTGATAGGATGAGCGATAATGGCTTCAAACTGGAAGAGGGGAGATTTAGATTGCATATTAGGAAGAAATTCTTCACTGTGAAGGTGGTGAGGTACTGGAGTAAATTGCTTAGGGAAGTTGCGGCTGCCTCATCCCTGGAGGTGTTTGAGGTCAGGTTGGATGGGGCTTGGAGCAACCTGGTTTAGTCGAAGGTGTCCCTCCCCAAGCAGGGGGTTAGAACTAGATGATCTTTAAGGTCCCTTCCAACCTAAACCATTCTATAATTTCTAAAGCCATCTGGGCTGGACAAAAATAATTCAGAAACTTCCTTTCAAAGAGACTCTTTAAGCGCAAGTTTCCCAGTGTGAGCACAGGGGCCAGCAGAGCCTGCCTGTAATAGTGCCTGTCTCTCCTCTGTGACTTGCAGGGAAATACACCCCTGGGTAGGGGCTGCTGTAGGAACAGCAAGTTGTTCAGCACTGTTTTCCTGAAGTGTTGGTGAGCATCTTGATGTGAGCAGGCCAAAAGCCACCAGGCTGCTTTGGCATGTGGTGGTGGCCTCTGCCCAGCTGCTGCGTAGCAAAAGTTACCAAAAAGAGGGAAGGAAACATGTTAGGCTGCACTGGCTTCTCTGCAAGGGAAAGGGTGAGAATAGAGAGAAGGTGGAAGCAATAACTTGGGCACAGGGAGGCACATGGGGGAGTGGTGGGTGCGAAAGGGTGGTGATGGGAGCCTGGGCTGTGATGCCAGTGGCGCTTGGGAAACCTAAAGCGGGGCTTTGGGTTGCCCTTGAACCAGAAAAGGACAAAGGCACCTGCCTCCCCTCTCATCCTCTCTCTTCCCTGCAGAGTTTGGCAAGGAGAAAAGCGTGCCGCTGAACAACCTTACTGTGGATGAAGTGGCCAAGGCCTTGGAGAACATTGTGAAAAGCAAGGCTTGAAGACAGACAGACAGTAAACATGTGCGTGCTGAAGATTTGACTGATGATCTTTAATGTAAAACATGTGTATCTTTAACTTATCAATCTCATAAATGCAATTTGCTTACCCTGAGCTTCACATGTTGGGTTTAAAGCCAAAAAGAGATGATGGAGGGAATGGCTGATCCAGCAGGGTTTATTCACCACCTCCCTGGCATCAAGAGCCCATCTGCCTGGCTTGCAGCCAGGCTCTGCCCCTGGACCAAGCTCTGGGAGGCACAGGTGGCAACATGGTGGTGACGAGGGAACGGCGGTATCTTGCCAAAGACCAACATCCCCATGCAGCCAGCACACAGTGCTTACCGCTGGCGGTTTGACCCCTGACCACCCTTGGGCAAGCAGGGCACAGGGTGTACAAACGGTTTACTCCTCCCTGGAGCGCAGGAGGAGGGAGGGGAGGTGGAGTGGCCTAGGAGAAGGCAGACAACGTGGCATGGCAGGGGCTGAAGGTGGCAGCTCCCAGGGGCTGCCCGACCATGTCCAGCAGTGCTCGCACCCGCTCCTGCAGTTCTGGGGTGCTCTGGTGCTGCTTGAGGGCTTGGTGCCCGCCTTGCCTGACGAAGTCAGCAGCAGCCTGTGCGAGGGGAGAGGGGTGAGAGCTGGCTGGCTGCAACCCCTGTAGGTGCTTCAGCTCATCCTGTGTGCCCAGAGCCACCACTGTACGGTCTGGGGTTGAAGGAATTCCCCAGAGCCCTACCAAACACTAAACCCCCAAGCCAGGTAAATCCAGCCATGCTGGTTCCTGGCTGGGTATGTGCAGAGCTTGAAGTATGCACAACTGAACCAAAATAGTCCCCCTATAATAACCTCAAAGGGTACAAACAACCTGTCCCAAAACCAGTCATTGTCAATGAAAAGGAACTCCCCAGAGACACAAGAAGGGCTTCCACCCTCTGCATCACACAAATGTCCCCTCCTTCAGGCATGTCTTTGGGTGCTGAGGAGTGGGGGGCTAGCGTGGCAAGGACTAAGTCAGTATTATTTAAATCATGATAGTAATCCCCATCCCTGGCTTTACGATCTTGTGCTTGATTCTGGGGCAGGCATCCCCCCCCAGCTCTTACCTCTGGCCAGTGCAGGAAGAGGAGGTGCAGCAGCTCCAGGCACTGTCCCACCACCTCAGGGTCGGGCAGCGTGAGGGTGGGCAGCAGCAGGGGCAGGGCAGGCTGCTGGTGCAGCAGCTGGCAGTGGGCTGGTCCCTTCTCTGCTATATTGCACAGGACTGTCAGGACCTGAGCGGAGAAGCCATGAGAGGGAGTGAGAAATGAAGGCTTTGTTAGTGGGCAGAGGATTCCCGACAGGCTTAGAAGGGCTCCAGAGAACTTCCTATGTTCTGGGAAGGACCCTGGAGGTCCTGCCAGGTGCTTCCTCAAAGCCACGTGCCCACCAACCACCTGGATTTTGAATGCTCTTTAAAAGCCTTCTCCATCCCCACCCCAAGGCACTGTTCATCCCCATGCCAAGCAGACTCAGTCAAGGGTAAATACAGACTTCAGGGGAGGCAGATGGTGACGCTACGACCACATGAGACTTCTCAAGCTACTGCCCTGAGCTATCCTCCAACCTGAGCACCATGTGTGTGGGGATCCATGTTCCTGGAAGTCCATTGCTTCCCCCTGCCCCAGACCTGGGCCAGGAGGTGAGGTCTTACCAACACACGGGCCAACTGGGAACACGGCAGGAGCTGCAGCAGGGCTGGGAGCAAGTCCAGGGAGAGCAGAGCGGAGCAGAAGAAGGGTTTGTCCGCTGGGAAAGGAATGCATCAATAAGATCATGGTTTCTGAGGGGTCTCTGTAGTCAAGACACCACGAGTCTGCCAGCAATGAAGGCAGGTCCCGGCAGCAGCTCTGGCTCTGGTGACAACCCCTCTGGGGACACTCACCCGTGAGGTTGTTCAGCAGCCAGAGACACTCCTGGACGATAAATGGGTGCTGCTGGAGGAAGCACTGCAGGATGAGGAAGAGGGCGATGAGCAGGCGCTCGTCTTGGATCTGGACTTCGCAGCCCGTCTCCTCTGCCAGCAGGTTGCCGAGGCACCGCAGCACCGGGCAGACGAGCTGTGACCGTGGGAAACACAAAGCCCATTAGCCGGCCCGCATCCCCACCAGCAATGCCGAGAACAGCCAGCACCCTGCCCACGTCTCACCAGCTCCAGGCCTTCGGGGGCGTCTTGGGGGATTTCAGAAGCCAGGTCCAGCAAAAGCGAGGTGAGGGCAGGCAAGGCCCCCAGCGACAGCAGTGCCCCGTTGGCTGTATGGCTGCAGAGGGAAGGGACAGCGTGGTTGCTCTCAGCGCTCAGGGAGGGGAAAACTGCTGCAGCCAAACAATGCGGAGCACTCTCCCAAACCGCCATAAGTGCCCGTTTTGTGTTTGAATAGCAGCTTGTTCCTGAGTTTATGAGAAAGTTTAAAAGCCCACGGAAAACAGATCCACTGGAATTATCTGTGCGGGTCTGGAAACAACAGCCCCGATCCTTCTTTGAGTACCCACACGTTCCTTTCTGCTGGGGCTGCTGAAGGAGGTGGCAGGGGAGCAGCCCAGCCAAGGCAGGCAGAGATTGTTGGCAGCGGCCAGCCCGGCCAGGTGGAGTGCGGGGGACAATGCCAGACATGGAGAGGCTATTGGGGGGGGTTCAGAGGATGAGGAGCAGCCTCCTCAGCTTTATCCCTGTGAAGGAACTCAGTGATGCTGAGAAGAGCACGTGAGTGCTCAGATACAAGAGTGGGAATGCCCAGGGTGGCAGGGAAATTGCTTTTCCATGGGGAGGCAACCCCGGTCCCCTTGCAGGACACTGAGCTTTCATGCCTCTCTGGTTGGTTGTCCCCAGGGAACTCAAAATGAGGAGAAAAGCGCGTTTACCTACAGACGATGTAGTGGAGACACCACGCGAACTCCACGGCTGCTCCTGTCCCAGCCTTGAGGCCGGAGCAAACCAGTCGAAGCATGTGCTGGGGGAGAACAGAGTCCAGAACCAAGCTGGGGTCAGAACAGCAGAGTTAACGGAGGCACAGGCCAGAGCACAAGCAGGACAGACAACTGACAGGGAGACACTAGCCCAGGCGACCGAGCAGGGGGCTGCTCTCCCCCATACTGGGGGCCACATGCTCCGAAAACACACCTGGGAGAGACCCTCAGGCCCAGCACAAGCTCCCCCTGGCTGTGGCAGAGCCTGGCAGAACATTTTTGGCACTGGGGGGAAGCTGTCAAGCTGATCTTTTTCCTTCGCGGGAGGAATAAAGCCAGAATTTCCCTGCGAGCCTACCCTGCCCGACACTGCCCTTTACCAAAATACCAGAGCTGTCTGCTCCGATGAGGCTGAGGGAGAAGAGTCAGGTCCTGCGCTCCGATCTGCAACAAAACCTCCACAGTTCTGATAGGAATTCTGCTCTGAACTATTAATATCACTGGGACGGGGAAGGCGTTGTTGTCCCTGGCATGTAAATACCACGCCGGTCCCCAGGGCCCATCCTGATGCCGGTTAAGAGGGTCAGACTCACGGTATGATCTCTGCGGGGGCTTCCTTGGCTTGCAGGAGCTGTGAGAGGACGTAGCCCAGACCTTCCAGCACAGCCTCGTGGGGGGACTGCAATCAAAACAGAACAGAGCTTATCCCGCATGACAGCGCCGGGGGGATGCTGTGCTGCCGAGAGGGCCGTACCTCTTTGTAACACCAAACCAAGCAGCTGAGCGGCGCAGCCTCTCCGCGCCTGGGGAAGAGGGGGCACAGCAGGGGACCGGGAGGGATAAGAGCAAGCTGTGACCACACCAAAGCTGATCTGTGTCTCCCCCGCTACTCCCCGGACTCGCACAGGCTGCAGCTGTAGGGATCCAGGAGCCCAAACACGGCACGCAGATCTGCACTGCTCACTGGGTTGGCCTCGTACGCCTGCGGGACCCGACGCGGGCAGAGGGGAGAAGCCTGCAGCTCCCCGTGTTACAGACTGTTTATCGGCCAGCTGCAGTTATGGATGTGAGAGATTCAGCGGGAGGAGGGCACAAGGTGGTGAGCTGAGCTCCGAAAATGGTGTGCAGGAAAGCCCCTGAGAGACCCTCACCCGCAAGGGGGTCTCTGCCCATGGTCACAGCTGGAAGGAGGGCTGGGAACTCCGTACTGCCAGCCGGTGTCTAACGGGCATAAGAAAAGGCGTAGTTCTGGGGCAGGACAGGGGAAAAGTGCGGCTGAGCTGTTTTCACCCACCTGGATGCAGGATGCCAGCACTGGGATGATGCCCTGAGGCAGAAGCTGCTTCCTCACAGCTTCGCTCTCCACCACCAGGTTCCCCAGCGTGTACAAACACAGCTCCTGAAACAGGCCCAAGAGAGCAGGTCACCTCCTCCGGCAAGGCCTCCAGGTCCCTGCACCCCACACCTAGGGCACACACTTCCCCTGCGTGGGGCAGGAGTTGTCTTCAGAGGGGTAAACCTAGACACACTCTCCAGCTACCCCGTTCCCAGCTGTATCACCTTCAATTTATCCTTTTTCTATCTGGCTCAGGTTGGTATCCCATCACTGCTACTTTGGAGGCTTTTCAGGCTTCTTCATATTGCTATGACATTTCCCTGAGACCTCTCCAATTCCACAGTATTCTCCTGGCAGCTGCCCACGTGCTGCATTAAAACGTGACCGGTCACCTTGGGGTTGGCTCCCCATCTCGTCCCTTCGCTCCGATCCTGTCTGCTTCTCAAAGGAGCACAGCATGCCGTGCAAGGGGCGCTGCTCGGCAGCTGGCAAAACGCACGGGCATCCCGGAGCTACTCCGACTGTTAGCTCCTGCACAGCTTGGAGCCGCAGCTCTGCTCTACCTTGACGGAAGCCTCCCTGCATGTTGCGCGAAGGTAAGCTGACAAAGTAGCTGTCCCCGCATCCCACCAGCCTGCAGCTGCTCATTTCTTTCACTTTTCTGAGATCTTTTGAAACACCTAAACTGAGCTGCATCTATTATTTCTGCTCTACCCACCACACAGGCACCAAGGGACCTCCCGTCCGGGCCCTGCCTGCGTCAAGAGGCCCCAGCGCATGTCTGATGATGGAGCCCAACTGCCACAGCCTGCAGTCACTGCTTCCCCAAACAGAGCTTGGAGCTGAAGAGGAGGAACCCACTGCAAATGGGGCAAAGCCCCACGTCCTGGGCTGTGGCAGGAGGGTTTGCCTGTCCAAGATGAGGCTTGGGAGCGTTTCAGAGCAGCCTGCAGCTACCTGGAAGGAGGTGCAAACACCATGGGACCAAACTCCTCCTGCTGTTGGGACGGGGCACAGTGAAGGGGGTCTCCAAATTTCCAAGACTTGGCCAGACAAAGCCTCGCTGCCCTGGGCTAGCACCGTCCTGCTCCAAGGGGAAGGCTGGACTAGTGATTTCCAGTGGGCCTCTTGCCACCAGCACCCCTGTGTGGCCCACATTAGGCTAAGGCTGGCCAAAAGAGGCCAACACCCAACTGCTACTGAAGGCTTATCAGGTGCCAGAGCCCTGGCAAACAAGCATGGATCTTACCGTGAACTCTACGCTGTGTCCCGAGAGGTAGGTGAGGAGATAGGAGGTCACTGGCAGGCACGCCTCAGCCACAGCAGGGTCACTGGAGTGGGAGAGCTCGTGGAGACAGCGGGCTGCCTCCATCTGCATGTCTGCCAGGCTGCTGGTGAAGAGCCCGATGAGCGTCCGGATGCTGCCGTCCAGCCTGGTGGAACCCAACGGGTGCTGTCACCTCCTGCCTTCCCACCCTTGGCCACACACCAGCTCACCCACGCAATGACTGGGACTAAGGGCCACTCTGGACATGCCCTTGATGGCAGCCGTGCAGTGCCAAACCTGGGCTGACCTGACAAACTTCTGTTGAGTCTCCTTGTTCTGCAGAGCCCAGCGGAGGCGGCTGAGTGATCGTTTCCTGTCCTCTGAACCCCTCTGCACTCCTCTGAGCAGCTGAAGAACCTATCCCAAAATTAAAATGGGTGAATCTCAAGCAGCGCCAGGGTTAGAATTTCAGCCCGTTAATCCTGGAGGCAAAGAAACCCCAGGGCACAAGTTCAGATGGTCACAAACAACCTTATCATTTCTCACTGTGTGTGGAGGCAACTCAGAATAACGCTCCAAAACCCACCTCCCCCCAGGCTTCTCCACATGCTGGGAAGACCCCCGGGACCTCCATCACCATGGAGAACATCATGCTCTTCACCTCATCCTCTGAGAGAGGGTCCGGCACGCTCTCTGCTCCATCCTGTCCACCCTCCTCTGCCCCAGTGTCCTCCCGCAGAAGCCGCTTGCTGACCAGCTGCTCCTGCCGCCGGGCTTTCCTGAGAGCTGCGATCAAATTGGTCCCCGTCACTACCTGCCTAGGTCAAGACACTTTTCCATCCCACCAAAAAGCCTTTTAACGGGGAGAAATCTCCTGTTCCTCCTTGTGAGGATGCACAAGGACAGTGACCGCATTGAGACCTCGCACGCTGCGGGGCTGTGGGGCTGGGCACGTGTGGGCGCGCGAAGGCACGGGTGGGCAAACCGTCGGGAAGGTAGGACGGAGGCGTGAGGACCATGGTGGCCATGCTGGGAGGGACCCACGGCTGGGGGCACATAGGGGAGGACCTTGGGAACCCCAAACCACAGACAATTGGGGCGTCCAGGGCAGAAAACCACGTGGGGTAAAAAAAAAATAAAAATAAACAAACAAAAAAACCCCAACCCCAAAATAAGGCTGTAAAACGCTTCCCCGAGCGGGCAGGAAGCCCGCAGGTGCCACCCACCCCGGGGACGTGCGGCCGGACGGCCCCCGGGGCTGTGTTGGGGTCC